CGTTATTGGCTAGACTATGATACGTATAACGTCATTATCCACCAAACCCCCCATGAGTCTTCCGCATATGGTTATATACACCTCCGCTCATATCTTGATCATCGAACGTCTTCATACAGACCCAGCAGATGTGTATCTTGCAGCTCGCGCATGTAATATGGTTACAACCGCCGTTCTTCTGAATGTCCGCAGAGCACCTGGGGCAAGATTTGACGCCGTTCTCGAGCTTCCAGCGCGCGAAGAGTTCCGCGTGGGGTCGAAGACTGTCTTTGTGCTCCGCGCACGAAAGGCCAGCGTGCTCCTCGACATGACAATGTGCGCATACGAGGACTAGACAGGAAGTACAACGAATGAATGTTCCCGCGCGAGCAGGACGGTAGATAACTTCACAGTCTGGCGTAGGGCAATAGTGGAACTCATCAGGATGAGAGCTGATATGAGCGCGCGCGGATGCTTCGAGAAGACGAGACTCGTCTTCTGGGCCAAGTAGCTCGCGAATCTGCGCGAATGATATGGCTGTGGCGCATGTCTTCGGTGTCCCCGAAGGGCTAAGCTCTGCAACGCAGAGCAGAGGCTTGAAGTCCGACGAGCTGCTTGAAGACTGCGCCAATAGGCGGAGACAGTCGGCATCATACGCGTGACCGCAAGTCAAAACTATGGGTTTCCCCTCGATCTCGCAGAAGCAAACGGGACAGATCGAGGTATGCTCGCCCACTGGAGCAGAAATGATGGCTTTCCCGCGCGCGAGCTGATCAATAGCGCGTCTGACAGCGGCCACTGCGACTGCATCCCCACGAAGTGTGATCGTCCTGCGCACGATATCCAGCTGAAGTTCACAGCCTTTCGCCTCCTTCTGCAAGTCCCTAAATCCACCTGATAGGAGAGAACGTAGGATATTCCTTTCGACGGGGATGATATGATTGCGCTCATGCGCTTCCTCCAAGAGCCGCAGGAGCATCAGTCGAGCCTCAGAACGAGCGCGGGGCTGACCATGTAGCCGGAGAAGGCGTGAGCGCGTGTTGCACTCTACGTAAGCCGATGTGCTCCTGTGCACTTCATTCAGGAGAACACGGCCTTCCTCAGTAGAGAACATGTCGTCCCAAATGACAGTATCTTGTGCACCGAGGACCCTTTCTCCCTGAAGAATGGTGTCCAACGTTGCCTTGGCACGCGCGAGCGATTTCGCGTCGGAACTGTACAAGCGAAGGACAACAGGGTCGGCCACGGCACCTTCCTGATCGAACTCGTAGTATCGCAACTTGCTCGCGACATCGACAGTGGCGGAAAGGCGGTCCAGCTCGTCCTTGACCACGAGGAACTGGGCTCTCGGCAGCGAGAAGCGTAGGGCGTGAACTTGCTCGACCCACACCGGGCTCTTGCCGAGACGGCGAAGCGGCTTTCCGTGTAGCTCGACAGCTGCCTGAGCAGCGGAGTCGGACGATGCAAACTGGGCCCAAGCTGCAATCTTCGACCCTCGCTGGGGTGACAGGTCGAACGATTCGAGGCGGCCGTGTCTTTCGAGGGAAGTGCGTATGGATGTGACCACGTTGTCGGAAAGGTGATACGTAGGAGGTCCGATAGTAATACTGTCGGCATGAGTGAAGGCGACGAGATGTTGTCTGATCTTCGCGTCTCCCGAGCGTATCCGACCAGGAAGACCCTTGAGAACCACTGAGAAGGAGCTCCTTTGCGTCCGAGAGGGTGCCTGAAACGCCGCCCGGATGGTCGCACCCTCGAAAACCATCGCATCCAGCCTCTTAGCCTCATTGCGAGCTTTGGTGACACTGTCGTAGTGTGCATATCCAAGGAAGGAGGGTGCGAAGAAGCTGAGCTTGACCTTCGTGCTTCGAAGCGTCGCAACGCCAACCTGTACGGCGCCTAGCTCAAACTTGGCGGAGAGAGATACAGACCGAGATCCGACTCGGCTATCCGTAAGGCCTTCTATGGCACTCGCAGCCTGTCGTGGATTAGAGAACTCAACGCGGGCTGAGTCGCTCCCCGGCTCGCGAGAAAACGTGCGAATATCCCCAAAGGTCTCGAGCAAAGTCATCAACGTCTCCCGAGAGGCATCATCGGGAATATTTGAGACGAGTAGGATGGCGGATTCGAATGCCGTCGTCAGCGAAAGGACGACAGCACCAGGGCCGAATGACACCTTGCAGCCCATCATAACTCTTTCCACGTCCAAGAGTTCGACCTGGTGCCTATCTGTCAGCTATCTGTGTCCATACGCGTTTACGACATTCACTCACCGTAGGTAGAGCAAGCTCATCATACACTGGCTGAGTGATGATGCTCGGTGGCTCTGGTGGTAGAGATGCGTTCTGGTACCTAATCAGTACCCGACCCCGGCCAGTCATCAGATGAGATCACATACAGGATCCGCGGCTTTGATATCCGGTACGAAGACCGGGGACTTCAGAAGGCGGGGATACGCAAAGGTAGATGACGTGGGCGCCTGTTCGACGTGGGGAAAGGGGCAATCCGACTTTGAGCAGCGGCCCAGCTGGAAGAACTTGCACGCGCCAAAGGTAGTAACTGCAAAGAAAAGGGAGTGCGGGGTGAGTTTCAGATATAGACATGAGAGTAAGAGCATGTGTACGCACACGACACTGGGGCTGCAGGCTGCAGTGAGTGCGAGAGACGACATTGATCTCCAAACCGACAGGTCCCAGATATGAAATGCGAGCATACAGGAACAGAAGCCCCTGGAGTCGTGCTTGAGGTAGTGTCAAGCGGAACGGTCTGTGGGGTGCTCTCCAAGACTTCGCAGTCGTGTGTGGCGTCTTTCCGTCCGTCGACTGAGGCGAGTGCTGGAGGCTCTGTTGGGTCGTCGGACGAGAGGGAAGTAGGTGAGGAAAGTGGCATTGGTCCCCGAACTTGCAATTGCCACGTAAAAAGTGAGGGCAAGTCGCTGTTGCTGTGGGTTGAGCGGCGGGATGAGTCGCTAGCTCGGGATCGTCGTGCTTATTCCTGCAGCTTGTACCGAAAGTACACTGGCCCTTTAGCCAAAATGTGCAGGTTCTCGTAGACATTGGAAGAGGTGGGAGCAGAATGGGAGAAGGAGGTAGGGGGTGAAATGCATGCCATCGCGCCACACTGCACGGATAGATATTCGAGCGCCTATGCGACGGTTCTTGACCAGATGCGGAAGCCTCAGAAGCAACCAAAGCAAACACGCGTTGTAGGGTAGTGCCTTGTGACCAACTATGAGTCGCACTCGCATGCTATATTGCTCCAGTGTACATGTGTACTCGACGTAGGGCGCTAGACCTGCCATGATGGTGGCGAAAGGCAAGACGTGAACCAACCCCGCGGGATTGCCGAATTATAGCCGAGGCGGCGGCGTCGGCCGACATCCCTACCCCGCTTCTCATCGTCAACTTGGCGCACACCACCATTGTCCGTATCAGCCCTGGCTTGCAGGCGCTTTCATGTATCCCTATCCATCCCACTAGTCTCCGTCCGGGTCTGACAAGGGGTATCCTAGTGCTACCGCTGCTAGACAAGAGCTCTCTGAGTTGCACGCGCCAACATGCTCATCGCTCAAAGAAGCCCGATAATCGCTCGTACTCGCCTGAGCCGAACACTGTAAGATTGTCATAACAGGCCATGTGACTCGTGCTCAAGGAACTCATAGTTCGAGCTCTCCAGATACACTACCGTTGGCGGGTGTACGCGTGCTAGAAATCGGTCAACTCATCGCCGGGCCCTTCGCCGGTCAGCTGCTAGGGTACGTTCTTAACTTAACGTGCTGGTAACCTTGCTTACTCTATACAACAGGCAGTTTGGAGCGGAAGTAATCAAGGTCGAGCCTCCCAATACTGGAGATGCCCTGCGTGTCTGGCGCGAACTCGACGTCGATGGAACAAGCCCATGGTTCAGAAGCTTGGCCCGCAATAAGAAAAGCGTGACGATTGATATGCGAAAAGAAGAAGGAAGGCGGTGGGTGCCAAAAGCCGAATTTGTCGGTATACGGGCTGATCTGAACATAGACTCGTCAAGCAGTTGGCACTGAAGTCCGACGTAATGATCGAGAACTTCAAGCCCGGCAGTACGTCCACAGCGCACTATATAACTATACCGTAGCAATACCTCAACCCATGTATAGCACTCGAAAAGTGGGGACTTGGTCCTTCTGACATCCACCCACACAACCCTGGTCTCATCTTCACTCGCGTTTCTGGCTACGGCCAAACAGGCCCCTGGTCCTCTCGACCTGGTTACGCATCCGTCTGCGAGGCAGAGTCCGGATTCCGCTACATCAATGGCGTACCAGACCCCGTCACAGGCGGTCTGGCTGGTCCACCTATGCGTCCCAACATCAGCTTGGGCGACTCTGTTGCTGGTCTACATGCTGCATTTGGCACTGTACTGGCGCTGTTATCGCGGAAGTCGAAGGAGGCTAAGGGCCAAACTGGCGGGGCGACTGTGGATGTTAGCATCATGGAGAGGTACGATCTTCATACATCTCTCCATCCATCATAACTGACACGATTACAGTATGCTCAACCTCATGGAAGGCATCATCCCAGAGTACGACCGCAAAGGCGCCATTCGTGGCCCCTCAGGCTCCTCCGTCACTGGAATAGTGCCGACAAACGCCTATCCGTGCCGCGCAGCGGCTTCAACATCAGACATGCCCACCTACGTCGTCATCGGCGCGAACGCCGACTCCATGTACGAGCGGCTCATGAAGCGCATCGGGCGCGAAGACCTCACGGGCGAGTCATACAAGCACAACCAACATCGCGTGAAGCACCAGACTGTCATCGAAGAGGCCATTTCGGCATGGACGCGTGAACATACCGTCGAGGAGGTGCTCGAGGCGTTACACGAGATCGGTGTTCCTGGAGGCCGCATCGCCAATGTGCGCGACATCGTCGAGAACGAGCACGTAGTGGCGCGTGGCGCCGTTGAAGACGTTTGGGTCGGCGGGCCCGCGGGTCCTGAAGACGCTGCGAACACGAAGGGTCGCGTGGGATGGAACGTGAAGATGCCGCGAGTGGCACCTGTGCTCGGAGATATGGAGACGAAAACGCGTTGGGCGGGTCCCGATCTCGGTGCTCATAACGAGGAGGTGTTGTGTGGGGAGCTCGGATTGGCGCGCGCAGAAGTAGATGCGCTCATTGCGCAGGGCGTCGTTGGCGCTTGGCGACCCACGCCGACATGAGAGACTCGATAATCAATCGCAATTCCTTGTGGGTATCTTGTACATTATTGGTTTGAGATCCTCGCATTCACCAATGAAAAGACTAGTACAAGGAAGACAACAAGGTCCATACACGGTACAGGTACAATGTCTTGTCTCCCTAGGAGTGTGCCAGCTGCCGTCCTCGCAGCGATATATGGCACCCGATCGAACCAACGCGCATGACTGCGCAACCCTACTGCTGACGAGCGCGCCCCAGCGCTCGCTACGCATCCCCGCGCGGCGAACCCCCTTTACCGGCCAGACCATAATGACGTTGCTCCGGCTCGGTGTTCCTCAACTATGCGCTCTCGGCGCCCATGTCTGTCTTTGCAAGTACAGCAATTACGCCCTCAGTGAGCGCTCTGCGCGAGAGCCGGCACATTCCAGCCCTCCACATCGATCACCCGCGACGGCCTCGGGCACACGACCTGCGCTCCACCAACAGCGCTCGTAACGAGCACAGAAACGCTCCCCTCCGATCCCGCACTCGAAGTCGCTGGACTGAATCCCGAGTTCAGCGTGACGTACTGCTCGTTGCTGGGCCAGTCGAATGAAGGCGCCGGGAGGCAGCTTGGGGATGGCGTGCGCATGAAGTCGGGCGTCTTCGATGGCACGTTGTTGATGTACGAATAGGTGCCGTGCTGGGACCAGGACGTCGACGTCGAGGTGGTGGGCGACAACGCATCGCGAACGAACTTCTTCAATTCCTCATTCAACGTTTGGATGTCGATCTTCGTATTCTCGCTACAAGAGCGGCCCCAGTCCAGAGGCGGCGCGGGTAAAGTGCTCGGCGACGGCGCGCGCATGTACTCCGGGTACCCGTCGATGTCCATATCAGCAACGTCAATGACGCTCTGGCGTTTCTTCGTGTCCTCTGAGCGACCTAAGCTCTTCTCCTGCGCCCGACCGAATATCTCATCCGGGCTTGGTGCGTCGATCGACGGCGGCGAGTTCTGCCACTGGGGGAATCTGTACGCTCCGTCGAAACTCGATCTCTATTGCCTTGGTCAGAGAAGCACTCCCGTCAACCCGAGCGTTCAAACGTACCTTGGCTTTCTTCGACTTAATTCTCATGGGATGGTGCCGACGCTGCATCATTGGCATTGCAGGCATGGTGAATCGTGTGGGTGTGTGTATTAAAGGTTGTGGTGGGAAGTTGAATGGATAGCGCGATGGCGCGGCGTTCGCGGACTACGGCGGAGAGAGCGACACAGAGGCTGAGGTGCCTATCAGCGACGCCGACTGGCGCTGACGACGATACGGAGAGTTATACTACAGTTTGGCGATCCGAAGGCGCGACCGACACAACACAGAGACGAAGGGTATGGAGGTATCTTAAGAAGATCGTCCAGCGCCCAGCATCCCGCTCTTTTAATGGGTGCGCGCAGAGCCACATTGTGCATTGTGTGGTTGGCTCCGTGTGATGAAAGGCGCGCGAATGCGAAAGTGTGGTAGAGTGCCCATTGTCGTCCCGGAACGTGTACGCGGAGCGCCGGGCTCGATCAACCACGATTGTGGCTTCTTTCTTCCTTTGGAAGTCGAGGCGGTTACGCCGTGAACGGACTCGACTTACCACTCAACCACTGGCGGCTCCATTCGCGTATGCTCGACGTCAGCCGCGCATTGACGATGATGACCTGCAGTGACCTGCCCGCAGATATGACACGCCCGCGCCTCGTGTGCGTACAGCTCCCCACCCAAAGCGAGTCCTCGCATCCTACGCATGGCTAGCTCCTCATACTGCACCTCCACAAAGACGTCTACGTCTTCTCCGGATCTCACATCAATCGGGCTTTACAGCCGGCCATTCCTCAACGTTCAACATCGGCACACGCAGAGACCCACTTGCACCTCCATGCACCTTCACTGGCGGGGCGCTCATTCTCATCTCCGTTCAAGCGCCCAGTTGTCAGCCTGGAGTCCACGTATACAAGGACATCGGTGGTGATGAGTCCGCGTGCGTTGTAGTACAAGGCTGGCAAGCGCGTATAAGAGCCTCGTCAAGCTTCACGCCGCGCCTTCACCCCACCTCTCAGTTCAAGCATTCGCGAGATGTGCTGCCTATTCCCCTTCCTCTGCTGCTTCGGTGTCCAAGCATTCAAGTTCGCATCAAGACCCGGCTCTAAACCCGCGAAGAGGAAATCCGCCGTCAAGCGTAGAGGTATGTGTTTTATCCATTCTATTTGCGCATCGAGCTCTTTCTGACGGTATTATGTCGCAGAGAATACGCGAAAGCGAGAACAAGACCTTTATGTGAAAGGACTCGGTGTTCCTGGAGTTGACCGAGGACGTACTGCCGAGCAACAGCATCGTGAGTAAAAGGGACTCCGAGCTTGGCTGACCGCTCAACCACTGGCGACTCCGAGTCCGTCCGTGTTGGCTCGACGTTGGCTCGCTCGGCGTACGCACATCAGTGCTGGTGATGACCCGACCGCAGAGGCACGCTCGCGCCTCGTGCTCGCTGTACAGCTGCTCACTCAAAGTCCCTCTCACCCTACGCATGGCGAGCTCCCCACACTGCACTCATACATCTTCTCCGGATCTCACATCAATCGGGCTTTGCGGCCAGTCATTCCTCTCAACATGAGCGCACGCAGACCCACTTGCGCCCCCATGCGCCTCTATCGGCGGGGCGCCCATCCTCATCTCCGTTTAGGCGCCATCTTGTAAGCGTGTAGGCCACGCATACAAGAGCATCGGCGGCGATGACTGCGCGTGGGTTGTAGAACGCGAGTGGCGAGCGCGTATAAGAGTCTGCCAGTGGACACGCCGCGCCCTTCACCCCACCTCCTAGTTCCAGATGTGCTGCCTATTCCCCTTCCTCTGCTGCTTCGGCGTACAAGCGTTCAAGTTGGCATCACGACCCACCTCTAAACCCGCGAAGAGGAAGTCCGCTATGAAGCGTAGAGGTAAGCACTGCACTCTCCCCCTTCCCTCCACGCGTCGAGCCTTTTCTTACGATGTGGTGGTGCAGAGGATACGCGAAAGCGAGAAAGAGAGCTGTATGTGGATGGGATCGGTGTTCCGGGGGTGGATTGAGGACGCGCCGCCGGACGCAGAACACGATACCACAAGGATTGTCGCAGTGTCGTGCTCTACCCGAATCAACCGTCGAAGCAGAGAGCCTCATGAGTGCAGTGATCTGCTCGATCCTGAGCCCGGCGCGTTCGCTTCGGATCTCTGAATCTTAAGAATGTTGTACTGGTTACGCGATACCTGATATGTTAGATGTGTATGCTCTCCTAGACGTCAGCTGTGTGTCTGGTTGAAAAAAGCACGTCATGACATTAAATTCTGCGTCGTTCAAATCGCCGTGTCAGCAGCATGCCTCAGAACGGTAAAACAAATCTGCTTCTCTTAGGGTGCGTTCGGCAAAAATGAACGATGACGAAAATCATGATATTTTGCCCAAACAAGGCAATTCTGACGAAACTTGAAGTCCTTCGAGAGCTTTCTGGCCAATCAGGAGGCTTAGTCAGGCCAAAAGTCATAGATTTCGAAGGCCTTCGTTTTTGCCGAACGCACCCTTATGGACACATCCGGAATTGAACCGGACACCTCTCGCATGCTAAGCGAGCGTGATAAACCAACTACACCATGTGCCCATG